CAGCTGGTAGTTGTTGTGCTCAAGTTTTGTGGCTAAAGCAACAACTACTGGACTATGGAGTCAAAACAAAGGAAGTGACAATCTTTTGTGACAATCAAAGTGCCATAGCCATCTCTCAAAACCCAGTGCATCATTCTCGCACTAAGCACATTGATGTCAAGCATCACTTCATCAGAGAACATGTGGAAAAGAAAGATATAAAAATTGAGTATATCTTAACTGAAGAACAACTGGCGGATATCTTCACCAAACCACTAAGTGAAGCCATGTTTTCCGATTTGCTTCACAAAATTGGTCTAATTCAATTAGACTAAATGTAGTGCACGTGGCAGTTCACTTTCCACGTCTGTCAAAATGATGGGTGGGAACGTGGCCTTGGGAACAGTATCGCCACTAGCCGCATAAATCGCCCACATTAAAACCCAATCGCCACTATTCAGATCTCAACCGCCCACTCAAAAATTCTTCGTCATCTTCTTCGCGAAAAATTCTCAAGAACTTGCAAGAACCCTAGGTCTCTCTTTCTCAAATTTTCACCCAAATTCCTGAGAAAATGAAGGTTGTCGGTGCAAATGTCCACTTTTTGAAGTTAGAAGCCAAGTGCTCATCCCCAACATTCTTCCAAAGCTATCTGCAGATGATAGCCGCTCAAGAACTCTCCGAATTTCTTCAAATGGAGATTCGCCTCAAATTCGAGGAAGAAGTTCTTGAATTCTACAGAAATGGAGAAATCAAATCTGCTCAGTCAAAGAAAAACCCACAGAGGACATTTCCAGTCATCAAGTCCACTGTTGGAGGCTTAAAGGTGAAGCTTTCGCAGAAGAAATTGGGAAGAAAGCTTCGCCTTCCCAATTCTGGAGTTGAAGTTGGGAAATTTCCAGTCAAAAATCTGGACTGGAACATCATTGGAATTTCTGGGCCAACTCCTTCTGGCCCAGCAAAGAAAGCAGATCTGAACAACGATTACAAGTTGATTTTGGAACTGGTCATCGCCTGCCTCGAATGTGGGAGTGGAGGTCATGCCGATGACATCACCCAGGAGAGAGCCTTCATCATCAACGCTCTCATTACCAAAACTAAGGTAAACTGGGCTGCACACTTTTTCAATTCCATCTCAAAG